GCAGGTACACGTACACACACACACACACACGCGCGCACGCCGGGAAAGTCCGTTTGCCGCGTGCCGGGTTCTCAAGCCACGTGGTATTTATGCCGGTTTCCGTGTCGTGGTGCAATGTGCACGTTGATCCGTCTCTTTTACAGCGAATGCGCGTTGCACTTAATCTCGTTAATCCTATGTCTTTATGAAAGGGGGTGTCTAAAAATCGTCGGTGGATATGACAAGTATACGTACACGCGCGCGCGCGCAAGAGCCCCGAGAGCTAAAACAAGTATCTTGCAAGTTATATATATACATATATATATCAATATACGCTCTTCCTAATTTACTATCGCAAATACTTATTGTAATTTAAAAAATTCAAATTAGTTCCGCGAGTTCTGAAGCTAATCTCCAGAGAGGTAACAAATCTGTATTATCAATTTTAAAAAAACGAAGTATATTTTATTCATTTTGTTTTGAAACTCTATAGAAATATGTGCTAACTAGGAGACGATTTTTAATTGATTTTCACTTTTATTGATCTGGAAACCAACCGGTCGCGCCGCGATAATTTCAATAGTAAAATATACTGACCATGAGAAACGTTCTACCTCTGTGAAATTGGCACCCAATTTTCAAAATTTCGATATGATAGAATTTTAACTCTCCCCCAAACGTTCTCTGTAGTTTGATTTGACGAGGAAATACTTAGGTACTATAAAAGCGCGAACAACGCTTCTGCGTCACAACATCTTCGCCGTTTATGTATCATAAGTAAGAGATTTCGGTTGCGACTCGCTATTGATCCCGGAGGTTACGTGAAAATCGAATTTGCATCTATGGGAAGCTCGTGTGCGCGAAGCGGCGGGAAGCGAGACCGCTCTTTATCTACGCGAGGTAGCATCTGTGACGAGCATAACTAATCACTTTCATAATTCATCGCCGCACCGCGTCTGCTTACCTCGTCCGAATATTGCACCATCCGTTCGAAAATGCGCAGCCGTTGTAAATCATCCAGATCGTTCCATAGGGTTAAATTTTATATACAGCGCCCGTTTAAAACGGTGTTTTTTTTTCTGAGCGCGATTTTAGCAGTCGTCTTCGTTTATTTTTCACTATTAAATTATACTTTTGTGATCCTGCATTATTAAAAAATATCTCGGTCAAGCTTTTTCGGTCAAAGTTGACCGAAAAAAACGAGCTCACACGAGAGCACGTCCTTAAAGCTCAAATCCGTTCTATTCGACGTTAAATATCCCGTCGTTCTCATGTGAGAGCAAGTGTGAGAGGGTAACTGTTGTCACGTCACGACATTTCGTCGTTTGTTCTTTTACGTAAACGCCTGGGGAGACATCAGAGCGCGGTAGGACACACCCCGTACACTGTATATATCGGTAATACATACGTCAAGTTACGTAACGTACGCGGGTGTACCGTGTATGATGTGCCAATAAATTCCTCTCGCGTGTACGGTTTCGCAGTAGCGAGAGGGGGAAACACTTGCAGGATGCAAGGCCACGTCGAACGTGCCCGTATTAGCGCTTCGAGTGACAATAAGGGATGTTCCTCGATAGAATTTTTTCACGTTACGTCGGGGCGGCGGGGAAGGGAAGGGGAGGGGGGGGGAGAGAGAGAAAAAACGCGGATACGCAGTCGTAAAGAGAAATGACGGAGTGTTCGCAGTGACGAAGAGAGCGCGCGGGGCATTTTTGGTATACCTATGTACGTTCGCAAATTAAATGCCTCCCCGCAGTTTGCGCTCGTGTGTGATTTTAGCGTCGCGCCTCGCAACGTTTACCGCAATTTTAACTCGTAACGATCAGGGTCGCCCTCCCGCGCAATCATTTCGCGACGGTGCGATGACGCCCCCGCGAATGTTATACGTATGCCCGACAGGCGAATGCGGTCGGGTCGATACGTTTCGGGCGAATGCCAGATATACTGGGGAGGCGAGTTTTCGATGCGTCCGCGTCCGGACGGGAGATATGTACGAGAAATTTGGAATTCGCCCGATGTAATAATCGAAGAGAGCCGTGCCATGATATCCCGCACATACGCGGTTTCATTATCCGGATTGGACAGCGGCGGCGGCGACGACGGCGTCGGCGTCGGCGTCAGCGTCGGCGTCGGGCTCGTGAATTCGCTCGCCGTTATCCAGGTTAATTCCGAGTTTCCGTGACGCGAGTGCGTTTCGAGAAGAATTATGCGCATGTACGAGACACTTGTAATCGTAGATATCGCGGAGCGCGCACGAGATATTTCCGTGTGTTCGGCAAACACCGCGGGTTCCGTTCCGAGTCCGCGTCGGTTTATGCTCTGCAGCATAAGCGCAAGGCCAAATTCTTCGTCGCGGCGGATGCACGGGATCTTCGCGTATCTATTTCGGTTCGATTCCGTGGCACGCGGGATCCGATCGAATTGAGGCTGAAAGGCTGGCGTTTCAGGGAAAGTATAACGATCGGGGGACAATCACCGGCTGAATTAGAAAAGTAAGTTGAAGCGAGTGAAAGTGGGACAGTGGATTGAGTTTTTAACTTTATTTTCGATTTATTCTCCGCAGTTCAGTTGTACAGTTAATCTTGCACGAGAATATGAAAGTAAATTTTTTAAAAAAATTTGATGTTTTAGATTTATATTTCCTTTTTAAATATATATATATACAAAAATATACATTTTCTTACATGGTATATAATTTTTTTAAATTCTTCAATAATTCACACTGAAATATTAATAAAATAAAAGGATGCATTAAATGTGAGTGATGTTTTACTGATTTAAATATTCAAGTCTAAGAGTTGCTACTGCAATCTTATCTCTCGTGTTCTACAGTCAAATAAATCAAAACAAGAATGCGCGTCTTTATTATGCGTATTTTATACTTTTATGCTTTGTTATGTAGATGCGCGTGCAACAGATTGTAATAAGTAATCACGTGCTTGGCATTACACGTACAACGTCCTGTCTTCATAGAAGCCGACCATGTAAATCGTCGCGACTCACGATCGAGATCGAGTTTCCGTGACGTGATAGCATTTCAGAGAAATTACATATCGGGACGTTCGTTAAAGCGGACGTCACTGAAGGGCGATTTTTGTGTTATGGCATTTTTGTACGTCTAACACAGCATCGAGCAACAAAGGTAAAACATGCCTGTGTGGTTTATTAAAGCCTGATCCGATCGTGGAAAAGATAATCGAGGAAAGAGGCCTTCCTCTATGTCGTCGAAAATTTGCGGCAAAGTTTCAATGGCGCGCGTAACGCTTCTTTCTCCCTTTCGACATTTCGGAAATGTATTTGAGCGTGAAAAAAAAAATAATAAATCACTCATATCTATAATAATGACGTTAAATCGCTCTGTTAACCGCACATAATCGATCATTAGGCTCGACTGCCACGTTCCCGACACAATTTTGTTATCTCGGTCAGATCACCGGTGACAGGAGGATAATGAACTTACAGCGGTTGTCAAACTATCCGATATACGCGATCGCATTCGCCGGTATCAAAACGTGCGGTGTGCATGCGTCAATGTCTTACGCAAATTAGATCAAGTTCAGCGCAAACTGCGCGCCCCCCGACCGACCGATCATTGTTTCAACGTAATCATTTTGATAAATAACCAGCGCGGACAAAGGACTCGTTAGGAGAACATAACGTTATATATCTTCCCACGTTGATGCTGCGTTATCAGTTAAAGCATACACCGTTTAAACTTATGATGAAGACGTATTCATGTTTAACGGCAATATTAATGCTTATTTTAAAAAATTATGCATTTAATATTTTCCGAATTTATACATATATAGGCCAAGTTGAAATTCTGTTATCTCCAAATCTATAATAGGCGAGTTGTAACTGTAGTTCTGGTTTCTTGAAATATATCTCTTTGCAATATTAAAAAGAATATCGAATATTTCGCAGATATATGAGATCTGATTAATGCAGAATCGCCAAATTTGGAAGTTACGATACTAAAATGAAACACATCATATTTCAACTTCATTATTCGGAATGGATTCACAATTCGTGGCTGAATCGGGCTTTCCGTGATCCCGAACGAATGTCATCGTGGTACACGGCGGCATTTCTGCACGGGTATCTCTGTGTGCGTGCGTCTACATTTGTGTCCGCCGCGTGTCCACGAAAAGAGGAGGGATACGCGTAGGGAGAGGGCGGAGGAGAGGGTAGAGTGGATCAAAACGAGAGAGAGAGAGAGAGAGAGAGAGAGAAAGAGGATAGGCAGGTAACGGAATCGAGTTTTACGCCATTCGATTCGTTCGCGGTGCGAGACACGTACGCGTTACTGGCGTCATCGTGCGTATGCACGTACGTACGCACGCACGCACGCACGCACGCACGCATGCACGCACGTACGTACGATCTTCGGCTCTTCATCGCCGCGAATGCCTGGCCGCGCGTATGCAGGTGCCGCCAGATATGGCCGTAAAAGTTTTATTTACTCGTTTACTACTGGCCCTAAAAAGCGCGGTAAATACCGGCCGAAGGAGGGATCTGTAATTACGGCGATAAAATCTAAAATGCGGCAGCTCCGCGATAAATGAGCGGCCTCTTCGGCCGGCTTCGTTTTTTCTCGCGCAGGTTACCTTTTTGACGATAACGTTTAATAATAGAAGCAACGACTCGCGGCGGCGGCGAATCAATCGTACGAGTGCGTCCAGCGAGTCGCCGGATCGGCCTCCCGCGCGAATATCGCGGAGCACACGTTCGCGGTCACACGTTCGGGGGGGG